TAGTCCATGTTTTGCAGGCATATAGCGGGGTTGGGAGAACAATAGCTTTATAAACAAGCACCTTGGTCTCCCTACGCATGTCCTGGTCCTCAAACACTCTCTGCTTCATTTAGAAAAATGCTGCACTCGCAGAGCTCAGGCAGTGTTGTATTTCAGTGTCAATGTTGACTTTTGTGGAGAGGTGGCTGCCTAGGTAGCGGAAATGTTCAACATTTTCTAATGTTACACCATTAAGCTGTATTTTCCAAAGTGACCCATTTAAGGTCACATCAAACAGGGATGTATTATTGCCCCAACCTTATTCTCCATCTTCATCGCTAAGATACTTCATCTTGTTGATGGGAAGCTTCCCACCGGAGTGGAAATCATGTATTGGACAGATGGCAAGTTATTTAACCTCAGCAGACTGAAAGCCAAAACCAAGGTTACAACATCTGTTATAGAACTCCAATATGCTGATGACAATGTCGTCTGTGCACATTCAGAAGAAGTCCTACAAGCCACTCTAAACACCTTTGGAAAAGCAAATGAGAAGCCTGGCCTCTCATTGAACATGGAGAAAACTAAAGTGGACTTCCAGCAATCTCCAATAAATGGCTCCATGCTATGTGTGAAGACGAATCCCAAGAAGGAACTTTTCTCCTGTTCCCTTCCTTCTTACTCAGACTTTCTGTGGCCTGAGAAGCAAACCCAGCTGCCTAGGAAGGGTTTCCTTTCAGAGACGTACTGCAATGTTGCCAGTTGCAAGGAAGGTAAGCAGTTGGGCAGGTAGACAGGAAAAGACTGAAGTGGCTGATATAGCACATGCAAAAGAAACAAAGTTCCACATTGGCTGGAGGAACTTGGCTCAGCAAAAGGTGAAATTTTCTTCCTTTACTCATCATTCCATGGGATCCATGGTTTGCACACAGATGGCCCTCCACAGTTTCAGATTTAACTTTTGCAAATTTGATTATTTATTGGTTTAAATAGTATGCTCTCTATAGGAATCCCTAGCTCCTTCAGCACTATTCTATGGTCAACGTCTGACAAAAACCGACCTTAGAATCACGCTGAAATGCCTAGAGAAATGTTATCTCTAGAAATGGTTAGGATGGGTCCTCTAACTTCAGTTCCACCAGACCTTAACGACTAAAAAGATCAAGGGTCTGGAGAACAAGCCCTATGAGGAGCGGCTTCAACAGCTGGGCATGTTTAGCCTGAAGAAGAGAAGGCTGAGAGGAGTCATGATAGCCATGTATAAATATGTGAGAGGAAGTCATAGGGAGGAGGGAGCAAGCTTGTTTACTGCTGCCCTGGAGACTAGGACGCAGAACAATGGCTTCAAACTACAAGGAAGGAGATTCCATCTGAACATTAGGAAAAATTTCATAACTGTGAGAGCTGTTCAGCAGTGGAACTCTCTGCCCCGGAGTGTAGTGGAGGCTCCTTCTTTGGAGCCTTTGAAACAGGGGCTGGATAGCCATTGGGAGTGTTTTGAATGTGATTTTCCTGCTTCTTGGTAGGGGGTTGGACTGGATGGCCCTTGAGGTTTATGATTCTATGAAAGTCCTGGAGGCAATGTAACCTGAATTGGGAGGAGATACAGGAAAAAAGTCATTTCAGCTGAATACAACCTCTCAAGTTTGGAGCTTCATGATGTACTGGTCAAACTGGTAAACCAACTATTTTCTACACATAGGCCGACAAAAGTGAACAGGGAGGTTATGAAATGTGATAGAAATGCAAAAACATGTTAGCATGATGATACAGTAACAAGCACTGATCTTAAGGTGGTCATTAAAAGAACATAGAAGGGTGATAAATAGACCTTGATGAACATGTGGGACAAAGTCTTGTATCCCCAGGCATTAGGTCAATGGCTGCTAAAGGGCTATGGTTTCAAGCACGTCAGTAAACACATGCACAAGGCAATGTTTCGGGACCTCTCTCCCATTGCACAATTACAGCAGTAATGGGACATTGGGAGTTCTCTATCAAGAGAGCTCTAGTGTACTGTCAAACGACAGATCCTAAGATTCTGTCAGATGTAGCCAAGTTTATTTATTTATTTAGTATCAATAGCATTGCATAAATTAATATAAAACTGATAAAAATAGGAGCACAAGCGGTTAAATATCTTTTGACCAAAAACGGGCAACAGCAACAGCATTGTCTGTAGCCTCCACCAATTCTTCCTCTGCTAATGAGGCAGGGCATAATGGACAAGCATACAGATGCGGAGTTGTCTGTTCTGTTCCACAGTCACACAAGGTGTGGGATTCTTTTAGGTTGTGCCATTTTGCCAAGTTGTCTTTCGATCTGCACACTCAGCTTCTGAGACTTCCAAGCTTCCAATTCTTGGTTTGCTCCTGGAGGAAGACCCTCCGGGGGGGGGGGGGGGGCATCCAAATGGGATTTCCTGTTATAGCTGCCTTGCTGTTCCTGGGGGGAAAAGTTAACAGGAATAGTTGTTCTCATGAAGCTTTTCCTTTATTTGAGTCTATTGCCGCTAAATGGTATCAAAGTACTGCAACTGTGTAGTGTGGAAAGTACTGCAACTGTGTTTGTGCTTCAGTTATTGCAATATCTGAAGCCAACTCCTGATGTTTGGAGGTCTGGTTCCAAAGAGCAAGTGGCCTGTTCTTTTTTTAAGAATGTAGGTTTTGGGGAAAGAAACACATCAGTTAGACTTTTGCAAATAATTGGAATGGCAAAGAAGAAGCAACCATATGGAAACAGCTCCAGTGTGGCTCAGGTGGTCATGGAAAGTGCCCGAAGTCAAGTTCCATCGCGTTCAGATGGCAAGCCTATATCTAGCAGCTGTACCACTTTATCTCTACGAAGACAGGCAGAGAAGGAAGGACTCATAGTGATACAATGGAACCCAACTGTATGAAAAAATGATGGCCCAAAATAAATTTTGGTCATAGTTCTTGTTGTGTCGTTCTATGTCTTGAAGCAATTTCTAACCTATGGCTACCCAATCAGAGTGTTCTTGGCAAGATTTATTTTCCAGAACGGGTTAGCATCCCATTCAATAATTATGATGCCACTAGTCCACATTACATCATACTTTGACAATTTCACTCCACTGTTATTGTAACGACCAAAACTACCCACCAAAACCTCCTTTTAAGCCACGAAGCTTGCCCAAGATAGGAGTCTCCAAAGTGGGTGAGAGATGGATGACAAGCTACAATATGACCCTTCTAAAGAGTTAGATCAGGCATGGGCAAACTTCAGCCCTCCCAAGTGTTTTCGACTTCAACTCCTACAATTTCTAATAGTCTCCGGTCTGGGTTGTTGTAGGTCTTTTTGGGCTATATGGCCATGTTCTAGAGGCATTCTCTCCTGACATTTTGCCTGCATCTATGGCAAGCATCCTCAGAGGTTGTGAGCTCTGTTATGAGCCCAAAAAACCTACAACAACCCAGTGATTCCGGCCATGAAAGCCTTTGACAATACAGTCTCAGGTCTTCCGCTTAAGCGGCTGAGGGGGAAAAGGAAGGTGCCTGAGGAATAGTGGGAGTTGAAGTCCAAAACACCTGGAGGGTCCAAGTTTGCCCATGCCTGAGTTAAATGCATAATAATTCACTGTTCCTCAGCGATTCCTTTATTGGGAAAGATTATATTGTCTTAAAAGGCAAGTTTTTTTGAGTGGAGATTACAATCCTGAAAGGTAGCTTATGTAGACATCTCCCCTGAAAGGTATTCTCTTCATTGTCTGCCCTAGAAGTTTGGAAGCAAGCCATGACAATCCCTTTATTGCAGGAATTTTCTGAGTCTGGCAGCAGAATCTACTGTCTAGTTTTGGGGACAAGGTTGCATGTCAGTGGTTCTCAACCTTCCTAATGCTGCGACCCCTTAATACAGCTCCTCATGTCGTGGTGACCCCCAACCATAACATTGTTTTCATTGCCACTTCATAATTGTAATTTTGCTACTGTTATGAATTGTAATGTAAATATCTGATATGCAAGATGTATTTTCATCCACTGGACCAAATTTGGCACAAATACCCTTCACGCCCAAATTTGGAATACTGGAGGGGCTGGGAGGGGCTTGATTTTGTCATTTGGGAGTTGTAGTTGCTGGGATTTATAGTTAATTTACAATCAAAGAGCATCCTGAACTCCACCAATGATGGAATTGAACCAAACTTGGCATACAGAACTCCCATGACCAACAGAAAATTCTGGAAGGATTTGGTGGGCACTGATCTTGAGTTTTGGAGTTGTAGTTCACCTACATCCAGAGAGCACTGTGGACTCAAATAATGATAGATCTGGACCAAACTTGGTATGAATCCTCAATATGCCAAAATGTGAACACTGGTGGAGTTTGGGGAAAATAGACCTTGACATTTGGGAGTTGTACTTTCTGGGATTTATAGTTCACCTACATTCAAAGAGCATTCTGAACCCCACCAACAATAGAATTGGGCCAAACTTCCCAAACAGAACCCCCATGTTTTGAAGGGACTGGCTGGTGTGAGCCTCCCTCCAGCCTTGCACACTCTCCCTCACCCCGCACATGTGCATCATGCTGCCATGCGCTGAGCATGCCTCCTCTCCCCTCCCCTTTTTGAGTCCCAGAAACCCTCCTTTTGGCTGAGAGGTCAGCCAACCACAGCAGAGGAGGGCTTTTGGTGGAAGGATTCACCGTCTGTTTCCAAAAAGGAAGAGAAGGACAGGTGGAGAGATCTTCAGCTTTCTCTGCCAAAGGGGTTCCTAAGACCATCAGAAATATACGTTTTCTGATGGTCTTTGGTGACCCCTCTGAAACCCCGTGCAACTGCCCACAGGTACGCCATTCCCCTGGTTGAGAAACACTGTTGTATGTGGTTCTGAGGACATTCTCTGCTGTTTCCAACTACTACGTTTCCTACTTTTGTTCTTCAACACACACCTCTTACCTAAAACGACTGACCATATCAACTCTGCTCATTGCTGGTGAATGTTTGCAACTCTTTCCCAGATTTTCCATCTTTCAGTTTTCAAACATGAATTTGCAACTGCTTCAAACCTGGCAAACTCTAAATTTATTAGCAGCCATCAAAAACCGGAGTCACAACTGAATGGAATGGGAATATCAGACGGGTTGGGCCTTGCATCCAATCCGATGGGGCCGTGATGTGTTTTATCTATGGATCTCCTAAGCAGTCAGACATTACACTCTGCCAACGACTAAATACAAAACGGCACACCAGCTATCAAATACCATCAAACATCAAACCTTGAATTCAAACATCAGTTATCAGCACACCAGATATCAAATATTCCTTGAACATTCAACAATACACAAGTATTTAGAAAACACTCCAAAGAAGATTCACCATTCAATTTTTCCAAGGAGAATCTTGAAGAGAGGGAGGAAGTGGGAGAGAAAATTTCAGCTCAAGTCAGTTTACATTGTCAAGAGGCTGATATAGGACAATGAGTAGTGATAGCTTGTCCTCAACCCCGATCCCCCCAAGACTCTTCAGTGCTTCAGAAACGGGCATTGCTGCAATTAACACAGAAACAAGAACCAACGTTGAAAATCAGATCCAGAGATGACGGTCGACCACGTTCCCCCCTGTAAACGACCAGAACATAGAACAGGGGTGTGAGTGTCAGGTGCAGTCATCTGGCAAGAAGGTGGGTACAGCGATCGCTGAAAGCATGCAGAAACAGGGTGTCAAGAATCCCAGTATTGCTATGTTGATTTTCCCAGTTCACTTCTCCAACAGCAAGTGAAACTCCTGGCACTGTCCTCCCTTGACGTCAAGCCTGCTTTCGAAACCCAGCCTTGGAGAACGGTCCTCACTCAATGGTAGCTGGAGGTCTAGTCTCTATGGAGAGAAATGTTTAGTCTCTGGCTTTCCTCCTACTGTTTTGCTGTCTTGGTGGGCTCCGAGGACTGCCGGACGTCGGTCCACTCCAGCATGGTGCTTTGCAAGGCTTGCGTCTTCTCCTTGTCAACTTGCACGTAGTCGACCTTCTCGTCCGAAGCAGCCGATGATGTCGAAGGCTGCCCAAGGAGAAGAAAATGCAAAACAGGGTTGCTTAGTTGTATACTTATAAACTACAAGAAAAGAAACAAGAAAGGAGATTCCATCTTGTCCTGTTTTGCTCTTAAGAAACAGCCTTAATGCAAAATTGAAAGTAAAAGAAAATGCTTTACTCCAGCAAGCAAAATAAGCAAATGCAATTGAAAAAGAAAACAAGGAAGTCTTACTACAGACACCAATGAAAGTCTTTAACAAAGTCCCAGTAAAATCATCAGACAAGAAGGCACAAATCACGAAGTCTTAAACACAAAGTAGGTCACGGCAGTAACAGAGTTGTTGTTAGCAGTGAAAAGCTAAGTTCTCCTGCTTCTGATTTATACCCCATGCAGGAGGGCTTAGGGCGTCACCCAATTAGCTCATCAATCTCTTAGCAGCTAATCGAGCTGACCACCACCTGTTCTCTGACTCCCTCCGTCTTTCTACAAAAAGTAGGCACCTGCAAAACCTCATTGTTGGATTGTTCTTCCTCTCCCTCCAAGACCTGAGCACCTCCCTGCTCCCCTTCCTCTTCTGACGATGAGGAATCCTCAACATATCTGAACATTAGGAAGGACTTCCCGACTGTGAGAGCTGTTCAGCAGTGGAACTCTCTGCCCCAGAGTGTGGTGGAGGCTCCTTCTTTGGGGGCTTTGAAACAGAGTCCGGATGGCCATCTGTTGGGGATGTTTTGAATGCAATATTCCTGCTTCTTGGCAGGGGGTTGGACTGGATGGCCCATGAGGTCTCTTCCAACTCTATGATTCTATGATTCTACCCATATGGCAGAGACCTCTAAATCTAATCTGGAATCTTGTTGGTTGGTTCCAACCAGAGTAGACCTTGAAGAGTCTCTCCAAAGTACCAAAGTACAGTGTGCCTGGAGCCCTTTGATTGAATCACTATCTGTTTTAAGAGGTATGTTTTGGGAGGTGCATCAGAAGAAGCAGCTTTGAGCTTTGAGCTTCACCTGATAATGCAGTATCTCAGCCTGCATCTTGAATGGATGCCAACCAGAAGGCTATTGGGCAGGAATTAATTCAATGCACCATCTAGCCAACTCTGGTCAAACGAGGGAACCTTTAAGGAAGATGTATCAATTCAGTCATCTGGGGCTGTCAATAAAACCTTGAAAAAATAATTCCGATCTTTCTCCTTATCCTCCTGCTTTCAGAGGCAGTGTAAGACCTTCCTACTGTGGTAATAGAGTAAATTATACCCGTGTCTGCCACTAACAAGATGCTGGCTGACTGGTGAATTACACTTAGAGTAAACTCATTGGATCTGGTCTTCACTAGTGAGTAAAACCTATTGACTCCAGAACCCACTTGCAGTTTCTCAAGTTGCTTCTGACACAAAAAAAAATTGGATCCATGGGACACTTTTAGTTGTGACTAGCCATTGGTCGCATGGGTGCAAACGCCTGCAAAAGTTTCAGAGAAGACCTATACCTTTCGATGTGGCCCAGGTGAGCTCGGCTGGAAGTCCAAAGCCAGGTAATCGACACTTCCTGTACTCTTTTTTGTGGCTGGACTGCTTGTGCCGCTGGGGATGGGAGACGCAGAGATCGGGTTTTGCTAAAATAAAAATAAAATGAGCCACAATTAATAAAGTAAAATAATAAAAGACAGGATGTTGTCTAAACAAAGTGACCAAGCCCACAACTTGAAAAAGATGCTTTTCTGGAACAAGAAGGAGCATCCCTGGGAAGCCAATGTGTAATTGCAATGTGAAATGCACCAAGGCAGGGCATAGAGGGAATGTACAGGTGTCACAAGAAATTCAATGTGCAGATTTGATAAATGTAAAATTAATATGATGTGTGGGAATGAATGAGTTGAATGGAAGGATGTATGAATGGAGTTAATAATTTTGGAGACACCAGTATAGTATTAAGGCCTGCAATGACTAACTACCTGCTTGCTGGACTGTGATTAAAACCTGCTAACGACAACTGAAAAGTAAAATGTGATATGAACTGTGAAAATTATTATTTCACGTTAAGAGAAATGTTTGCAACCTTCCTTATGTTAAGAAGGAAGTCAACACAAGCCTTGTGTTTGTCAACACCAATCAAGAAGATCAAAATCTGGCCAGGAAACTAAGATGGATCCAGTATGGAAGAGGTCCATCATTAATTTGCAACTTTGGGACTACATCAGCAGAATATTCCTATAAAAGACTCAATGTAATAATGCTCAAAGTGTGGCAGACCTGAGGAGTCTGTCTCACCCGCCATGCTCTGCTCCATGGGAAGGAGAGAGATGGTGCATTCGAAGAATGTCAGATATGCTATAGGAAAGCATGATTCTGGACACTTTGGGGCTTCTTTCTCAAGAGAAGAGGAAGAAGTGAGCTTTTGGATCTTGGCTTTTGTGCAGGGAGTCAGATTCTGCTGTATGGAAAATAGAGATCTGGTCCTTGGCATTGTTCTTAGGGAGAGAAGTTTTGTTATTTCAGCGTTTTGAAGTTATGGAACTCTGCATTGGCAGGCTGTAGGAAAGCAGGGTCTGGAGTAACAGGTGCTTCTCCAAGGAGGGAGAAAATAATATGGTAATATTTGAATGCCTGAGGATGAATGCGTGTACATGTGGTGTGAATGTTGAGTGAAAATGTAATTTCCCTTTGTTTGTTTGTTAACCAGTGTAATTGTAAATCCAATGTAGTTGCATAGAATTTGTATGTCTGTATGTTTTTCTGTAATCTGATGTACCCTCTCACACTGGAAATTGCAATAAAAAGAACCTATGCTTTAAAGTTATTGAAAAGTTATTCATGATACAGGGAGACCCTATTCAGTGTAGATCAATGTGCTATGGCACACAAAGTTAACCAAAACCACACTGGAGGATGTAGAGATTCCTAGCAGTTTTTTCTTTAGTGTTTTTATTTATTGTTTTTTCCATTCTCATGAGGGTCCCTTGATTCTCCTACTTTATAATAATAAAAAATACTTGATATTGAAGAAAGGGAGTGTTGGGATATACGTTCTGATGAGACTCACCATGGCCACGTAATTTTCTTCACTGTCTCCTGAGTCAGTGCTGGTGATGCTCTGGGTTGAGATGGGACGACAGTATGGGGAAAAGTTGGAGTTGAATGCCTGGCTGAAAGAGGAATTGAAGAAGAGGACAGGTTATGTTGTTTTATTAGTATCACCAAGAAAAAAAAGGGCCAGCCTCAACATTAGGCAGAGAGGGGTAACTGGCTGGAATCCCAGACCTCTGGGCCATCTTTCTGGACACATCCCAGTTGACAAATATCCTTCTTGATGTGCTGCCCAGACCTGGATACAGAATTCTAGCTGAGGTTTGACTAAAGAATTGTCTCCTTCAGTTCATCAAATTTATTTATTATAAAGAATTGAATATTTGGGAGGGTGAGATGACTTTGCTGTGTTCATCTCATTCCATTCTTCCCCCATTTTATTCCCACAACAACCTATCAGATTAGATTGCACTAATGGATCATCTGTGGCAGTGGTTCTTATCCTGAAGGTCCCCAGATGGTTTGGCTTTCAACTCCCAGAAATCCTAACAGCTGGTAAACTGGCTGGGATTTCTTGGGGTTGAAGGCCAAACTATCTGGGGACCCACATGTTGAGAACCACTGATCTAAGGGTCCTCCCAGACAGGCCCTATATCCCAGGATCTGATCTCAGGTTTTCTACTGCTTTAAATGGGATTATATGAGTCCCCACTGCGATAAACAGAAAATCTGGGATCAGATCCTGGGATATAGGGTCTGTCTGGAAGAACTCTATCTGTACTTTTGGAGAGTGAGACAGTGGGAGGGGTTACTCTGTTGCATTTGTTAAAGTTTCCAGACTAATACACAGCACGGTGAGCATTGATCTATGACTGTGGGAAACAGGATTTGATTCCTAGTTCCAACAGACCTCACTACCTCTGAGGATGCTTGCCATAGATGCAGGCGAAACGTCAGGAGAAATGTCTCTAGAACATGGCCATATAGCTCGAAAAAACCTACAACAACCCAGTGATTCTGGCCATGAAAGCCTTCGACAATACAAGGATTTGATTCTCCTGCTAAGCCATCGAAATCCATCGGGCAAATCATATACTCTCAGCCCCGTAATAGGGTCATCTTTGGGCTGTCATAAGTTGGAGGCAACTTGAAGGCACACAACAACAAAGAACAAGAAAAATGTTTCTTTGTCACCTATTGTTCTCAAGACAGAGATGCTGCCAGAATCAAAGCAAATATTGAATTCTAGTATTGTCAATGTTTGTACAGGTAATTGGATGGATGCCATTTTGTCCTTTCCTCTGGGTGACAGAAATAGAGCTGGAAAAAACCACCAGGACCATCCAGTCCAACCCCTTGCTGTGTAGGAAAATACAATCAAAGCATGTCTGAAGACAACCTGATTTCTGGCCTTGGAAGGCTTGCATTGCAGAGGCTACTCATCTCCAAAACCCCAAAAAGCCTCTCTTGTGTGGCTGGCAAGATCAGGCAATATTCTTCAAGCAAGTTAAAATTCAGTTAAATGCTTAGTCCTATTCTCCTACTATTCTGTTAAGAAAATATATTCTGGAACTTCCCAGTTATGTATTTTAGGGATGCAGCCACAAGCATCTCCACCTGAGGATGGTGGTTACTTAGCAAGCCACACCTGGGATGGATCGAAGCAATGAAACAGCCCCACCATCCCATAATGGGATGGATCAACAAAACAGCCCCATCTTATACTCACCCAGGCCTGGACCAGGATTTAGTGACTGGTGATTTGAAAGGAAGTTCATCAATGACTGTGTTGTTCCTCAAGTCTAGTGGTGTTGGCTTTGCTGAAGCAGAAAGAGACTGGAGTCAGGATGGAACATTTATTAGGGACTAGATGTACCCGCCACGCGTTGCTGTGGCCAACCTTCCTTCCCTCTTCCTCCCTCCCTCCCTTCTCTTTTTTCTTTCATCCTTTCTTTCCTTCCTTCCTTCCTTCCTTCCTTCCTTCCTTCCTTCCTTCCTTCCTTCCTTCCTTCCTTCTCTTCCTCTTCCCTTCCTCCTTCCCCTTTTCTTTCCCTTTTAGCTTTCTCTCCTTTCTTCCTTCTCTACCTATTCTTGGACTGCAACTCCCAGCAGTCCTCCTGATCAACCTACCTACCTACCTACCTACCTACCTCCCTATCTCTTTCTAATCTATCTATCTTATCCATCTGGAAGATTGCAGGGAGTTGCAGCCCAGGAACAGGAAATTGGAAATATGCAGGGATTGGGATGCTCTCAAAGAAATCCAAGGAGAAGAAAGCTTGCTTCTTGGAAGCAGTGCATTTGGATCATCCACCTCTCCTAAAGGGCCTGGTCTAGGGGATGCTGGGAGCTGTAGTCCGGAAGAGAGTGTGGATATGATAGTGTGTTTTGTTTGCCAGGGGGAGTTGTTTTGTGCATGCAATGATGTTTTGCTTTTTTTGGCTTTTGGCTTTCGTTGTGTTTTTCAGTTTTTGTGAGTGATGGTCACTCGTTGGTCTGATAGGTGTTTTGTGTCCAAATTTCGTGTCAATTCATTCAGTGGTTTTTGAATTATATTAATCCCACAAACGAACATTACATTTTTATTTATATAGATTGAGAAAAGCTTGGCATTAATTTGTTTAATGTTAATTCATTGCCCACAATTTCCTTTATTAAAAAAACTGAAAATAATAAACAACATAACGAATTGATCTTATGTTTCAGCAAATCTACTGTTTATGTGTCATTTTTCGACCTGCACAGTTCCTGTTAATACCTTTGCGATCAGGTTTGAGGTTTCGGTTGACGGGCGGGGGCTGGATTTCACTCATTCGCCGGTGAGGCTGGGAGCTACTGCTGCCCTTATGAAGGGGAAAGGTAGAAGAAGACATTGCCATCATGTCCAGGTGATGAGGCCCGGGGCTCATGGGGATATAGAGGTTCTGGGAATTGTCGTCTGATCTTTCCATGTTCAGCAGGATCGAGGAACCTGGGTTCATCGGGACGTAGTTGTCCTCGGAATCAGCGCTGTGAGAACGAGCCACTGTAGCTTTGTTTTGCTGGGGAGTGAAAAGGAAGCAAAATGGAATGAGCATGGAAACAAAAATTCAAAGAGGACCGAGGCTGGGCTGCTAGGAAAGCAAGATCTCCAAAACTGCAGCTGGGTTGCACCCTGAGAAACCCAGATTTGAAATCTGAAAACAACAATGAAGTTCCTATTCCTTAGGATTTCATGCAATGGCTTGGAATCAGGCATGTGGTGGATGGTGAAATCTTGAAGCCAAAGGGGAAATGTTTAGGGAAGAAGGGAAGCTGGGAACAATTTCCTTGATGAAAACAGCACATTTTCTGCATTTTCTCGCTTTCATAACACTTTAATAAGCATGGCTCCATCCTAAGAGATACTTAAAATGATTTCTAAAATAATATCTAAATGACGATCGTGCCATCACCGCTCAAGCAGGGAGCTTTGAGATGGTTGAACAGAAGTTCTCCAAAGCTTTAGGTGATTTTACTGCATATTATAGGCAAAACCATTCCCAATCCATTTATAACACAGACGTGTGCTTTTCATCTTAAGAACAGACAAGCATCTCGAGGTCTGAGGATCACCTGGGAAGGAATCCCACTGGAGCATTGCAGCGCACCCAAATACCTGGGAGTCACTCTGGACCGTGCTCTGACCTACAAGAAGCACTGCCTGAACATCAAGCAAAAAGTGGGTGCTAGAAACAATATCATACGAAAGCTGACTGGCACAACCTGGGGATCACAACCAGAAACAGTGAAGACATCTGCCCTTGAGCTGTGCTACTCTGCTGCTGAGTATGCATGCCCAGTGTGGAACACATCTCACCACGCTAAAACAGTGGATGTGGCTCTTAATGAAACATGCCACATTATGATGGGGTGTCTGTGCCCTACACCACTGGAGAAACTACACTGTCTAGCCGGTATTGCACCACCTGACATCTGCCGGGAAGTAGCAACCAATAGTGTAAGGACCAAGGTAGTGACATCTCTAGCTCATCCCTTGTTTGGGTATCAGCCAGCACGTCAACAATTTAAATCAAGAAATAGTTTTCTAAGATCTACAGAGACACTTGCTGGAACACCTCAGCAAGCGAAAGTCCAAAAGTGGCAGGCTCAAACCCAGCACCTCAATCCATGGCTGATACCAAATGAGAGTCTCCCTCTTGGGCACACAGAAGACTGGGTGACTTAGAAGGCACTGAACAGGCTGTGCTCTGGCACCACGAGATGCAGAGCCAACCTTAAGAAAAGGTGGCACAAAGTGGAGTCCACGACATGCGAGTGTGGAGAAGAGCAAAGCACAGACCACCTACTGCAATGCAACCTGAGCCCCCGCCACATGCACAATGGCGAACCTCCACCAGAGGCACTCCAAGTCACCAGCTACCAGTCAAAAGACATTTAATCAGCTACCAAGCCTTCAAACTTTGTGTTTTGTTTGTCTGTTTGTTAAAAAATGCAATTCAACTGTTTGGTCTGCCCCTGACACGATAAATAAAATACCAAAAGAGAGACTCCCTCCTGAGCACACAGAAGACTGGGGAACTTGGAAGGTGCTGAACAGATTGTGCTCTGGCACCACAAGATGCAGAGCCAACCTTAAAAAATGGAGCCACAAAGTGGAGTCCACAACATGCGCAATGGAGGACCTTCTTATAGCAACACCAGAGGCACTCCAAGTGGCCAGATACTGGTCAAAGGACATTTAATAGAATGCCAAGTTTTTAATCTTTATGTTTTCTCAAATACATTGGTTCACTCCTGATATGATAAATAAACAAATATCTAAATATTTCTGGTCTACTCCCTTGAACTAAATAAAATCTCAGGATTCTTTAGGATGACACTATTACTATTACTATTTAAAGTGGCCTGAATTGGAAAAGTTCCTTTTCCAAAGCTTTTAGCTAGATTTTGTTTTGGAGACTTGTGTATTCTGAAGACATGTATTCATTAGTTTATTTTGTACTGCACTGTTTAGTTCTGCATTTTATCCAAATGATTTGGTTTGCAAGGGTATTGTATAGCTTTGCGTTCCATTATTCCTTCTTCCTTCTGCATGTATATGTGCATACACATATTTTTTAGATTGCTCACCTTTGGAAGGTCCCACTGTTTTGGGCAAGTTGACTGTAAAGTAACTTGGACATTTGATGTTCTAAATGAATGAATGAATGAATGAATAGGTGTACAATGCAGACAAATACCAATTCTGTAGCAAATTGAACAAATGAGAGAAATTCACCTTGGGTTGGCTAAGCGAACATAAATAACTCACCAGATATGGATGAAGGCCCACATTCATAGACTCTGCTGACTGAGCGGCACTGCTGCTGCTATGTTGCGGGTATTCATAGGTCTCACAGGATGATGCTGAAATCAGTTAAACAATAGTTCACTCAATTGAAAAAAAATCCCTTATCAAGATACCTTAACTTGAGCCAGCCCGGGTCAGAGTGAGCTTCTGACCAATTTGTGTAGCTTGCTGCTGACCTTTGCAGCCCGAAAGACAGTTGCATCTGTCAAGTAGGAAATTTAGGTACCACTCATGCGGGGAGGATAATTTACGATGCCATAAAAATCTCCAACAAGCATGCAAAGAATAAGGAAGTACTTCATCAGTGTCACAAATAAACGGTGAAGCAACAGCTCCCCTGGTGGGCAGAATACCCTCATGAAAAAGCTGGAATGTTAGATAGCCTCTATATGTCTGTCTATATATGTTGTATGTCCATGGCATTGAATGTTTGCCATGTAATCCGCCCTGAGTCCCCTGCAGGGTGAGAAGGGCAGAATATAAATACTGTAAATAAGTAAATAAATAAATCTCAGGAAACTACTCACCTCGGTGCAGTCTGCAGTTTTCCACCGCAGGTAGTGTATTCCTCCTGGGAATGGTTGCAGCCACTGACCCCATGCCCAGGCTTTCGCTGTCCAGAAGCCGCTGTTGGGGGCTGCCCCATCTGGATTCCGCTTGTCCTGGCTTTGGTGGCCTTGGAGGAGGAGTGGCCGGAGTTTCACCGGACGCCAGGGCATTGTGGTTCTTATCCAGCGTGAATGTCCTCGGGATCTGATAAACCGGGGTACCGGGGACGTCATACGAGTCCGTCGAAAGCTCCCCGAAGCCTTTGCAAAGGGTGTTGTTTGGGGTCTTAAAAGTGTAGACCTCTTCGCTGTCTGTCTCGGACCCGGTGAGGCTGGCTTTGGTGTGACCATAGCACCCAAAGCTCCTCGGGAGGTCGTAGGCACTGTCCCCAAGCTCCGAATTGTGCCGGCTGGGCTTGGGCAAGCTGTAGAAGCCGTGGACGTGCCCTCCCATCCCATTGACACAGTGTCCGTTCCCTTGAGAGACCTTCTGGACGGATGGATCGCTTCTCATGAAGAAAGCCGACCTTGTGGCTTGCGAAAAACTGGCACTCCTGATAGGGAAGAAGAAACAAAAAGAGGAGAAATGGTGAAGAGGTAATCACATTCCTTCGGGTATTTATTTCTAGATCGACAGACGTCATAATCTCACTCTATTCTGCTCTGGTCAGATCTCATCTGGAAAGACCCTGTGTTCAGCTAGGGGCAAAGCAATTCAAAAAGGAGACGGACAATCTGCAATGGATCCAGAGGTGACTGAGCAAAATGATCAAAAGCCAATGCAATTATAGATTCATCAATGGGAGAATAGTTTCTCAATTGAGGGAAGTAAGATTACCAATTCATTCTGTTTTGCTCAGACTGTAATTGGAAGATTGCCTAGAGGTGGAAGCCTCTGCCTTTGTTTGTGTTTGTGTGTCTCACTGTATTGTAACGAGACATTGAATGCCTACCAAAATGATCAAGGGTCTGGAGAACAATCCCTATGAGGAGCGGCTTAAGGAGCTGGGCATGTTTAGCCTGAAGAAGAGAAGGATGAGAGGAGATATGATAGCCATGTATAAATATGTGAGAGGAAGTCATAGGGAGGAGGGAGCAAGCTTGTTTCTGCTTCCTTGGAGACTAGGACGCGGAACAATGGCTTCAAACTACAAGAGAGGAGATTCCATCTGAACATGAGGAAGAACTTCCTGACTGTGAGAGCCGTTCAGCAGTGGAACTCTCTGCCCCGGAGTGTGGTGGTGGCTCCTTCTTTGGAAGCTTTTAAACAGAGGCTGGATGGCCATCTGTCAGGGGTGATTTGAATGCAATATTCCTGCTTCTTGGCAGGGGGTTGGACTGGATGGCCCATGAGGTCTCTTCCAACTCTTTGATTCTATGATTCTAATGTTTGCCGGTATATCTGTTTACACTGTACTCTTCTCGAAGTCCCCACAGGGAGAAGGGTGAAATATAAATAAAGTACTACTACTACTACTACTACTATTATTATTATTGGAAACACAACAAGATGAGTCCACAGCAGACACTCTGCTGGCTGTTGTATTGGATCACACGTCGGACACTTCCCAAGTGTCTAGGACTGTGTTATGTATCGGTGAATGATGCGTGCAGATCCCAGTAAGCTGGCTTTCTGACTGATGGTAATTTTGTCAGTGCCGATTGTGTTTAAGTGCAGGCCAAGGTCTTTAGGCACTGCACCCAATGTGCCGATCCCCACTGGGACCACCTTGATTGGTTTGTGCCAGAGTCTTTGCAGTTCGATCTTTAAATCCTCGTATTGTGTCAGCTTTTCCAGTTGTTTCTCTTCAATCCTGCTGTCGTCTGGGATTGCAACATCAAATATCCATACGTTGTTGTTGTTGTTGTTGTTATTATTATTATTATATAACCAATTGTTGTTGTTGTTCATTCGTTCAGTCGTCTCCGACTCTTCGTGACCTCATGGACCAGCCCACGCCAGAGCTCCCTGTCGGCCGTCACCACCCCCAGCTCCTTCAAGGCCAGTCCAGTCACTTCAAGGATGCCATCCATCCATCTTGCCCTTGGTCGGCCCCTCTTTCTTTTGCCTTCCACTTTCCCCAGCATAATTGTCTTCTCTAGGCTTTGCTGTCTCCTCATGATGTGGCCAAATACTTCAACTTAGGTAATAATAATAATAATAATAATAATAATAATAATAATAATAATAACAACCATCTCCTCTAAGGGACTCGGGGCAGCTTACAAGGGACAAGCCCAAAATTACAAGTAAAACAAACAAATAAAATAGTTTAACCGATTAAAAACATCCGATAAAAATGAAATACAAACAACAATTGTAAACAGCATGAAAACAATATGGCTGAGAAAAGAACATAGCTGAGATCCAGATTCAATGAGTGCAATACATTCCGACTGGAGCGCAAGGAAAGTGCAATAATCAAATAGGTAGGGCTGGAAATGACATTGATAACCCAGGAACAAATATTGTGTTATTCAGTATTATGTTTGATTTCTATATATATTAACCCTGGGCTGCATAAAAATGTCTCGAGCGAAAAGGAAAACGTTTAGGAAGCCTTATTTTAGAAAGAGAGAAAAGAGATATAGACTTCACACTTATCCCAACAGACAGCATGACATGCGCTGGAAGGGTCCCAACCACAGGGATCTCAGGGCAGTTTGTTTTATTTATAACCCTTCATCAATTCCATCTGAAGCAAAAGCTTGCTTTTAATTATTAATGAGAGTCAGATGTCGGAGTGAAATTCTCTTAAATTCGGGAAAGCCCTGGGGTTCATGGGAATCCAGCTGTGCTTGGAGCACCATAATCTCCCATCGCTTTGGACTCTGGGTCCTTCCCCAGCTGTGATCCGTGGTCCTCTGGGCCAGTTTCCAGCTGTCAACGTTATGGTGAGAAGCCCTTCTTCCATCCTGTGGAGTAAATTACCGCAACATATTGCTCTGGTTGGATGAAAAAGGCAAAAGCAACATATTCGCAAAAGGCTTCCCGGCAAGGCTTCTTTCCAATTTCCCTGACATGGTATCAAACAGAAATGTTCTTCCTCTTCAAAGTATAACCATGCCAAAGCCATTCATGGAGGAATTGCGATCCAAAATACACTACAATTTATATTAAAGTTAGGGCAAAATACATATCAAAAACAGTCCAATATTCTGTTTAACTGGAGGGTCCATCTACATTGCCATATAATACCTTCTGAAACCTCTATTAAGACAGTTAAAATGCATTATATGAGCTAAAACCAGGCATGGGCAAACTTGGGCCCTCCAAGTGTTTTGGACTTCAACTCCTACAATTCCTAATAGCCTCAGGCCCTTTCTTTTCCCCTCTCAGCCACTTAAGCTGGCCTGAGACTGGAAACTGTGATTTCCATCCATGATGGACCTGGACCAAACTTGGCACACATAAACCCCATGACTAAGTCAACCTATTGGAGGGGTTACTTACATAGGCGACCCCTCGTTGTCCAAGTATGATGGTCCTCCAAGTGTAGTGTCTTGGTGGTGGATACGTAGGTGACTGTGGAGACCTATTCTTGGTCCGCATGTTCTTCCACAGTGCGGACATCAGTTTCCACGTGGAAAGCAGTTCAGGTCAGGGTTGCTTGACGCGCCTTCCTCTTGGCACGTTTCTCCCTTTTGTCCTCCATTTGTGCCTCTTTGAATTCTGCATCACTGCTGGTCACAGCTGACCTCCAGTTAGAGAGCTCAAGGGTCAGGGCTTTCCAGTTCTCAGTGTTTATGCCACAGTTTTAAAGATTAGTTTGCAGCCCATCTTTAAATCTCTTTTCCTGTCCCCCAACATTCTGTTTCCCGTTCTTGAGTTGGAAGTATAGTAACTGTTTTGGAAGATGGTGGTCTGGAATTCAGACAATATGGTTTTCCGTGCTGTATGGCCATGTTCCAGAAGTATTCTCTCCTGCCGTTTCGCCCACATCTATGGCAGGCATCCTCAGAGTTGGAGGTCTGTTGGAAACTAGGCAAGTGAGGTTTATATATCTGTGGAATGTCCAACAAAGGATTCCCCCAGGCAGTAAGCAGCCAGGCTTTGAAGCTGCAAGGCTATTCAATGCTAATCAAGTTAGCCAATTGTAACAAGGCGTGGCTGATTCCATCCCTCACTTTCCTAGTTTCCAACAGACCTCACAACCTCTGAGAATGCCTGCCATAGATGTGGGCAAAACATCAGGAGAGAATGCTTCTGGAACATGGTTATACAGCCCAGAAAACTCACAGCAACCCAAAATTTGTAGTGTTAAAGTGTATTTCATTCATTCACCAGAAGGTGGTGCTATGGATAAGCCAACCACCTGCTCTCTTATCTTACATCATGGATATATTCTTTTTGTTATCTCAGTATCTAAAGCTGAAATATGGAATGTTTCTGCTCCCATGCATTTTGGGTACGGGGTACTCAACATTTTAAATAAATGCATAGATTGAGACTAGTTTTCTCTAAGTAAGGTACTAGATTTTGTTTTGTTTTGCAGACGGATTTCTATCAAGTAAGTACACAATATAGATACAGCAGCTTCTAATGATGATGCTTTGCAGGCAGTTATTAAAAACTGAATTGTCTCAAGATACGTCCAAAGTAAGACACTTTTAGTTTGGTCATATTTGCCCATAGCATGGGATGCATTAAAACAATCCTATGCACGCTTACAGGGAACTAAGCCTTGGTGAAGTCTGTGGAACATTTTAGTAAATATAGATAGGATCTCGTTGTTATGGTGCTTCTCGGCAAAGAGCGTTGAGAGATACCAGCCCAATGCAGCTACTCCACCTCTCCTTCTTTATTGGATTTTCAAGATAAGACAAAAGACAGAAGACAAGGTGGGAAAACATGCAAAGGTTACAACGGAAGAGAGTGTGGTGCGCAAACACACACTTCCCTCTCCTAAATCCTGTGAAAGGCTTGTATTATTTAAAAATACAAAGATGAGCATTTTATTTGTTGTTTTCCAATTGCTGTACTGCTCTTTGCCATTACTGTTATAATCGGCTTTCTTTGACGCAAACACACTGAAAGCAATTATGAGACTGTGTTGTCAAAGGCTTTCATGGCTGGAATCACTGGGCTGCTGTGAGTTTTTCAGGCTGTATGGCCCAGCTTAGTTGTCCGAACGCATCCACCCCTACGTCCCAACTCGTAATCTAAGATCATCCGGGGAGGCCCTGCTCTCGCTCCCGTCAACAGCACAGATGCGTCTGGTGGAGGCGAGAGACAGGGCCTTCTCGGCTGTGGCTCCCTGGCTATGGAACACACTGCCAAATGAGATAAGATCTGCTCCCTCCCTCCTGGCTTTTAGAAAAAAAACTAGCTGTGCCCTGCCACGCGTTGCTGTGGCCAATAGTAAGAATTTTCGAAGTAGAGGTAGATATCTGGACTATTATGAAAGAGCGGTACCTACCTATTCCTCCCCCCCCCCTTTTTTCCCCCCTTCCCCTTTCTTTCCTTTCTTCCTTCTCTGCCTCTTTTTTCATTCCTTCTTTTGCTCTTTGGTTTCATCCTTCCTTCTCTCTTTTCTTCCTTCCCTTCCCCTTTCTCTACTTCTTACTTTGTCTCCTTTCTTCCCTCCCTGTTTCCTTCCTTCTTTCATTTTTTATTTCCTTTTCTCCTTCCTTCCTTCTTTACCTCTTTCCTGCCTTTCCTCCCCTTTTTCTTTCCTTTCTACTTTGTATTCTTCCTTCCTTCTGTACCTCTTTCTTCCCTTCCTTCTCTCCCTTCCCTTCCTTCTTTCCCTCCCTCCTTCTCTTCCCTTCCTTCCCTTCCTTCCTTTCCCTTCTACATTTCTTCCCTTTTTCCTTCCCTCCTTTCTTCTCTCCTTCCTTCCTTCCTTCCTTTCCCTTCTATTCTTCCCTTTTTCCTTCCCTCCTTTCTTCTCTCCTTCCTTCCTTCCTTCCTTTCCCTTCTACATTTCTTCCCTTTTTCCTTCCCTCCTTTCTTCTCTCCTTCCTTCCTTCCTGTTCTCCCGCAATACTATGGTAGAGTCCTGTCTAATTCTATTCTATGAGTCTAATTAATATAGTAATATTTTGAATGTAAAGGTATTTTTGTGGGGTTTTTTTCAGTGATGGTCACTCCTTGGATTGAGAGGAGTTTTGTTGCCAAATTTGGGGTCATTTGGCCCAGTAGTTTTTTTGTTTTTAAGGTACTCATTACGTACAGAGCATTTATATATATATATATAGATTAAAATCATGGTTTTGGGACCAGGCCTTTGGGCAGTAGAAGTAAAAGTATGCAGCACTTCGGAAAGACAATGATTGGAACGGCGATTTGACGAATGAGACTGTTTTATTGTTTTAATGATTGTTTTATTGCTTGTGGATGCACTGTTTTTAACTTGATTTATGTCTAATTGTAATGTATAATTGTAATTGTTTGTACTGGCATTGAATTTTGCCATTACTTATGTGTAAACTGCTTTGAGTCCCCCTCGGGGTGAGAAAAGCGGTATACAAATACTGTAAATAAATAACTATGTTTCAGTAGCATTCTCTCCTGACTTTTCACCTGCATCTGTGGCTGGCATCTTCAGAGGTTCTGTTGGCAGTGAAGCAAGTGGAGTTTATATATCTGTGGAATGTCTGGGGTGGGAGAAATAATTCTTGTCTGTTTAAAGCAAGTGTCAATGTTGCAATTGGCAAGCTTGAATAGCATTGAGTAGCCATGAAGCTACCAAGTCAAAAAGTGAGGGTATCTGCATAGAGGTAGCCTGGCAGTTGTTGCCTGGAGGCATTATCACGGGGTGTCTGCGCCCTACACCACTGGAGAAATTACACTGCACCACCTGACATCCGCCGGGAAGTAGCAGCCAATAGTGAAAGGACCAAGGCAGAGACATCTCCAGCTCATCCCCTGTTTGGGTATCAGCCATCACGTCAACGACTTAAATCTAGAAATAGTTTTCTAAGATCTACAGAGACACTCGCTGGAACACCTCAGCAAGCGAGAGTCCAAAAGTGGCAGGCTCAAACCCAAGGCTGATACCAAATGAGAGACTCCCTCCCCCCTGGGCACACAGAAGACGGGGCGACTTGGAAGGCGCTGAACAGACTATCTTAAGAAATGAGGCTACAAAGTGGTATCCACAACAAAGTGGAATCCACAACATGGAGTGTGGAGAAGAGCAAACCACTGACCACCTGCTGCAATGCAACCTGAGCCCTGCCACATGCACAATGGAGGACCTTCTTGCAGCAACACCAGAAGCACTCCAAGTGGCCAGATACTGGTCAAAGGACATTTAACCAACTACCAAACTCACAAGTTTTGTATTTGTCTGTTTGTTTGCTTTGTTCTGTTAGAAATGTAATATAATGGACTGGTTGTTCTGACACAACAAATAAATCCTCTGCTTGGGAGGTGTTAACTGGCACTTGATGGTTTGCTGTCTGGAGTTCTGCTGTTTTTACATCCATAGGGATACCAAAGTGCTTGTTTATAAAGCTATTGTCCTCCCAACCCTGCTATATGCCTGCAAGATGTGGACTATCTACAGACATCACATGTAACTCCTGGAACAATTCCATCAGCGTTGCCTCCGAAAAATCCTGCAAATCTCTTGGGAAGACAAGTGGACAAATGTTAGCGTGCTTTAAAACAGGGATGGGCAAACTTGGGTCCTCCAGGTGTTTTGGACTTCAACTCCCACAATTCCTAACAGCCTACCGAAGAATGTCTCCTCCTACCTGGTGTTCTCTGAGGTCCTGCTCATGCACTGGTGCAAGAAGAGATAGTCCTGCGGGGCACTGGTGGAAAGCGTGGTCCGGATATGGTTGGAAGGCGAGTCGAAGGTGAAGAGGGTGGGCTGGCTGGAGTGGGAAGGAGCCGAAGAGGTCCGTTCTCGCAAAAGACGCTGAGTGGAGCCGCTGAGCTCTGCCGGGGAGGAGCGGGGGCCGTGACTCATCATAGGAATGTTCCTCAAAGAATCTGGACAGAGAGAATAACACAGCTGTCAGGATAAAGTGCATCATCATCCCTCCTTTGTCATCCTTGCCCACAAACAGAGGGAATCCTACAATTATGCTTTCCAAAACTCCAGTGCAGTGGGCCATTGCTATCCACTGAGGTTGGGGTCCAGGACCCACAAAGATCCCCAAATCCTAGGTCCCATTACATGTCTTTATCCAAAATGCTCAGGTCTGCAAAGATTTTAGATTTAATTTTCACTGCCAGGTTTTGAAATATTTGTATTTGCATATATGTGCATCATAAAATATCTTGGCAAAGGCACCCAACGCTACACACAATATTCATTTAGTTTTCCTATGCACTTTATACATATAGCCTGACAATCATTTTATACACAATGTTTTGTAACACATGGCAAGCTATTTAATCTCAGCAAATTGAAAGCCAAACCAAGGTCACAACAACATCAGTTATGCAACTCCAATATGCTGATGACAACGTTGTCCGTGCTTATTCAGAAGAAGACCTACAAGCTACTCTAAACACTGTTGCAGAAGCATATGAGAAGCTCGGCCTCTCATTGAATATCGAGAAACCAAAGTGCTCTTCCAGTAGTCATCAGCCAATCCCTCTGCAATGCCAGAAATACAGCTTAATGTTAGAAAATGTTGACCATTTCTGCTACCTTGGCAGCTACCTCTCCACAAAAGCCAACATTGACACTGAAATACAACACTGCCTGAGCTCTGCGACTTCATTTTTCCAAATGAAGCACAGAGTATTTTGAGGACCAGGACATTTGTGGGGAGACCAAGGTGCTTGTTTATAAAGCTATTGTCCTCCCAACTCTGCTATACGCCTGCGAGACGTGGACTGTCTACAGATGTCACACTCAACTCCATCAGCGTTGCCTCCAAAAAAATCCTGCAAATCTCTTGGGAAGACAGGCAGACAAATGTCAGCATGCCACTTATGGTGGCCCTTTTTCGGAGGCAACACTGATGGAATCGCTCCATGAGTTGCACGTGAAGTCTGTAGACAGTCCACGTCTCGCAGGCGTATATCAGGGTTGGGAGGACAATAGCTTTATAAACAAGCACCTTGGTATCCCTACGGATCTCCTGGTCCTCAAACACTCTGTGCTTCATTCAGAAAAAAACTGCACTTTCAGAGCTCAGGCGGTGTTGTATTTCAGTGTCAATGTTGGCTTTTGTGGAGAGGTGGCTGCCAAGGGAGCGGAAATGGTCAACATTTTCTAACATTCCACCATTAAGCTGTATTTCTGGCATTGGAGAGAGATTGGCTGGTGACTGCTGGAAGAGCACTTCAAATGCTCTTCCAGATGTATGATGCCACCATGGCGTTCTGGATTGAGTTTTGGATAACAGGGTTGGGATCCTTGATGAGCTATGGAAACCCACCTTGGGCTAATGACGCCTTCTTGTCATCAAAGGCAAATCTCTTGTGAACAAAACTTGACAAGAAAATTCCAAGACTTATGGCCACCATAAATTGGAAACGACTGGAATGCACACAACTGCTATGCTAATAGAAAAACACTGATGCACAGACTGCCAATATGAAAGCTCTTCAAAGCCAAGTTAACTCCTCCAGCTAAAGGCTGTCTCTCTGACCCCCTGCCTGTGAGTATACTTTTACCATAGCTGCCTTCAAGCTGTGGAACTTCGCAAAGGGATACTGCAGGCTGTTTGCTAAAAGCTTTTGAAAGCAGAATGCTAGACCTCTTGGTGTGAGGTCTAGAAAATGCTGCAGAGGAAAAACGCCTTCTCATCAAACACTGTGTGGTCCAGATATTTAGCGTACTCTAAATGGTTACCTTGCCCCTCCCCCTTAAATCTCTACTGAATTGATATAGATGGGCATGGGTGACGTCTCCAGGTGGGCTGAGAGGATTCATGGGCTTCATTAAGGCAAATATGAACCAATATTTTTGTTTTATCGGCAGGAGTGAAGACAGCTGAAAGGAAGAAATTCAACTAATTGGAAAAGTGGTTCTAAAGAAGAGTCATCCAGACATCACATATTGTTGTTAGATGATGGCATATCAAATATGACTTATGGTGGCCCTTTGAAGGAGAGCTCTCCATGTCACCCTGTTCAGGTCTTGCAAATTTAGGTCATGATCATAGAATCATAGAGTTGGAAGAGACCTCATGGGCCATCCAGTCCAACCCCCTGCCAAGAAGCAGGAGTCATCTGTGCGCATTCAGAAGATCTACAAGCCACCCTGAACACCTTTGCAGAAGCATACAAGAAGCTCGGCCTGTCATTGAACATCGAGAAAACCAAAGTGCTGTTCCAGCAGACACCAGCCAACCCTTCTCCAATGCCAGAAATACAGCTTAATGGTGTAACATTAGAAAATGTTGACCATTTCCGCTATCTTGGCAGCCACCTCTCCACCAAAGTCAACAACGACACCGAAATACAACCCCGCCTGAGCTCTGCGAGTGCAGCATTTCTCCGAATGAAGCAGAGAGTGTTTGAGGACCGGGACATCCGTAGGGATACCAAGGTACTTGTTTATAAAGCTATTGTCCTCCTAACCCTGCTTTATGCCTGCGAGACGTGGACTGTCTACAGATGTCACGTGCAACTCCTGGAACGATTCCATCAGCGCTGCCTTCAGAAAATCCTGCAAATCTCTTGGGAAGATAGGCGGACAAATGTCAGCGTGCTGAAAGAAGTAAAGACCACCAGCATTGAAGCAATGGTCCTCCGCCATCAACTCCACAGGGCCAGCCACATTGTCCGGATGCCCGACCACCGTCTCCCAAAGCAGTTGTTCTACTCTGAACTCAAGAATGGAAAACGGAATGTGGGTGGACAGGAAAAGAGATTTAAAGATGGGCTCAAAGCCAACCTTAAAAACTCTGGCATAGACACTGAGAACTGGGAAGCCCTGGTCCTTGAGCGCTCCAGCTGGAGGTCAGCTGTGATTAGCAGTGCTGCAGAATATGAAGAGGCACAAATGGAGAGTGAAAGAGAGAAACTTGCCAAGAGGAAGGCACATCAAGCCAACCCCGACCAGGACCGCCTTCCACCTGGAAACCAATGCTTTCACTGCGGGAGAAGATGCAGAGCAAGAATAGGGCTCCACAGTCACCTACGGACCCACCCCCAGGACACCAAACTTGGAGGACTATGAGGAATCGCCTAAGTGAAAAGTGACTGCCAGAAAGCAGGAAAATTGCATTCAAAGCACCCTCAACAGATGGCCATGCAGCCTCTGTTTAAAAGCCTCCTCCTTGATGGTGTCAAATGTGGTCTTCGTCTTTTCCTTTTACCTTCACAAGCAATATTGAGTTGTAGATTTTTTGTGTTGTGTGGCCATGTTCTGGAAGCATTCTCTCCTGATGTTTCACCTGTATCTGTGGCAAGCATTCTCAGAGGTAACCTCACAACTATAAATCCCAGCAACTACAACTCCCAAATGTCAAGGTCTATTTTCCCTAAACTTCACCAGTGTTCACATTTGGGCATATTGAGTATCTGTGCCACGTTTGGTCGAAATCCATCATTGCTTGAGTCCACAGTGCTCTCCAGATGTAGGTGAACTACAACTCCAAAACTCAAGCTCAATGCCCACCAAACCCTTCCAGTATTTTCTGTTGGCCATGGGAGTTCTGTGTGCCAAGTTTGGCTCAATTCCATCATTGGTGGAGTTCAGAATGCTCTTTGATTGTAAGTGAACTATAAATCCTAGCAACTACAACTCCCAAATGACAAAATCAATCCTCTCCAAACCCCACCAGTACTCAGATTTGGGTATATGGGGTATTTGAGCCAAATTTGCTCCAATGAATGAAAATACATCCTGCATGTCAGATATTTACATGGCGATTCCTAACAGTAGCAAAATTACAGTTATGAAGTAGCAATGAAAATAATTTTATGGTTGGGGGTCACCACAACTTAAGGGGTCGCGACATTAGGAAGGTTGAGAAACACTGTACAATGGGGTTACGTGTCTTGGTAAGATTTGTTCAGAGGGGATTTGCCTTTGCTTTCCTCCAAGGTTGAGAGAATGTGATTTGTCCAAAGTCACCTAGTTGGGCTTTCATGGCTCACGGAGGGGTTGAACTCCCACCTCCAGAGTCAAAATAATCCAATGTCCAAACTATTGCTCCATATTGGGCTCATCCAAAGACCTTTACTAGAAATGAATTTATCATCTTGCACAGTCAGATGCCTAAGTTAAACAAACTCTACCAAAGAACAGCTTAGATCTATCAATTGATTAAAATCTGCATGTGAACAGAAATGGTTGGGCATGCGTGCAAGACATCTTGTTTTGTTTCATTTCCCCTGTCTTTCAAATCATTTTTGATTAAGCATTTCCCACTATGTGATAGATTAAAAAGGGAGAGAGAAGTGGAAATGAATATTTCTTCCAAGATGACACGACATCTGCCATCCATGGCAAGCACTTGTGCTAAAAATGATTAAATTTTAGAAGTCTGCTGTCCAGTTAATTGGGAACACAGCTGAAAGTGATCAAAAGGTTGTTAATTAATCTAACCCATTAACTGAACATACTCCTATGCATACTTGCTCAAGCTGAGCAGCACATTATTGACCAAGGCAGGGATCAAACAACCATCTTAGAAGCAAAGAACTGGAAGGGACCTCTAAAAGCTATCTAGTCCAACCTTTGATCATGCAGGAATATGTAACAAAAGCACTTTTATGGTGCCATACTTTAAGTTTGATGCATGCATAAATGCACCAAAATAGATGGTGTTAACCAAAGCTGTAATTTTACACAGTAATGGGTCTTCTCTGTGAAAGAATGCTAACATCTCATCAACTTCCATAGCACTGAGCCACAGCAGTTCAAGTGATGCCTTGTTGTTGTTAAATATCATTTGTTGTTATTGTTAAATATCATTTGTTGTTGTTCAGTCATCCCACTGGAGCATTGCAGTGCACCCAAATACCTGGGAGTCACTCTGGACCGTGCTCTTACCTACAAGAAGCACTGCCTGAACATCAAG